AAAAAATGCATTTTTATGAAATAATTTGTTTTATTAAATTAATTAGCTTCATTGAATTAATTAACCTTTTTCGCTTCGCTAAATTAATTAATCGTTCATATTATGCAACATAATAATTATCTTCATTTTTTTTTTTTCATTAGCATAAAGTTTGTCCAACAAGTAACATATCAATTCAGCTTAGTCTTACTAATAATTGATAAACAATAGCTCATACTTGAGCTCTTTTATAATTTAAACAAAAAAAAAAAATTTACATTTTTATGAAATAATTTTATTGGTGTTATTTTTAAATTTAAATGAATATGATAATTTTTAGTTAGATCTCGAAGATATTACACAAAATTTTTCACTGAATAAAGTATCAATTGATGAAACAGAATCAATCAATGAAACATTACGTCGACAACGTACCGAAACATTCATTTCTATTATTGAACCACGTCGTGCCCAAAATTGTACAATTATGCTATCAAAACTTCGTTTATCAAATAAACAAATTAAACATGCTATCTTATCAATGGATCAATACGGTGAATTACCACGTGATATGATCGAACAGGTATGTTCATTATAAAATTTGTTAATTTTAATTATAATTATGTATATTGGAAAATTATTTAAACAAAGATATCAAAATATTAATTACCTCATTACCACGTGATATGATCGAACAAGTATGTTCATTATAAAATTTGTTAATTTTAATTATAATTATGTATATTGGAAAATTATTTAAACAAAGATATCAAAATATTAATTATATTAAACTTAATTATTTGCTTATTTATTTATCAATCAATTATAATACTAAATATTCATATTAATACGTACATATCTTTAATATTTTTAATTTAATACCAAATCTACCAATTTAATTGTTCCATCTTTACTTAATTAATCATTAGATTGTTAATTTTTTTTTTGTTCTCAATTACTATTTATATCTTATTGTAAATTAATTAAAATAAATGTCGAATAGTTGACTGGATAATGTGCAAAAATAAAAAAAAATATATGATAATTACGGTAATATTTATTAATATCATGAAGTAATTTCAGTTTTTCTCATTTTCTCTTTTTCCTTGTTTCGTAAAATTTGATAATTATTAGAATTTTATCAAATTCCAATTATTGCAATTTAATGATTAATACCGATCAATAATTCCCATAAGAATAATATAATCTAAAAATTAACATAATGTAATTACAAAAATTACAATTTTTCAATTTCCTCCCTTTTTTTCTACCAAAAAAAAAGAGAAAGAAAAAAAGGACAATCAATACTTTGTCATTTGACCTTTCTGTAACTTTTTTTTTTATCTTGTTGATAACTTTCATATATTTTTTGCAATTTGAAAAAGATTATCCACCTGTAATCTAAAACTAATTACAACAGGTAATAATTAACTAATTTAAATATTTCATTTTTAGATGCTAAAATTTCTGCCAACTAAAGAAGAAATTTCAAAAGTATGCGAAATTGTGAATAAATATAAAACACCCGGTGTATTATCAGTAGCAGATCGATTCTTTTATGAAATTAGCAAGTAATCTTTTTCTTCTCCTTTTTACTGCTGATAAATTTATAATTTATTATCATGAATTTTTGATAAAGTTTATGATTAAATGTTAAACATAGTAGGTAGAAGTATTTTGATAAGATAAATGATAAAATTCTGTTAAAAAAAAATTAGGAATGAAATTTTGACATCTTCTTTTATTTACTTATTATTTTATTTGATTGTAATTGATGAAATTAAAAATTTTTTAAATTTAAAAGAAATTATTTTTTTTTTTAGCATTCCACGATATGAAGAACGATTACGTTGTTTGCATATTATTAGTACATATCATGAACGTATCGATGATGTCACTAATACTATTAAAAGTAAGCAATAAATATGTTAATTGGGATTACTTTTTTACAAAAAAAAAAATTATTTGATAATTTTTAAAATTTTAAAATTTAATTTTTATTTTTTTATTCAATTGTAATTTTTTTTTTTTTTTTTCAGCAGTGACAAATGCTTCAATAGCTGTAACAAATAGCAAACGTTTAAGACAATTATTACGTATGATTCTAGCATTGGGAAATTTCCTGAATAACGGGAAACGTAATGGAAATGCATATGGTTAGTCTATTAGGATAAGATAATAATTTGAAATTATATTAAAATGTATACTTTATTGATTGAATGAATAAAATCACCGCGTTTATGGAATGGGATAACAATTTTAGGAATAAATTTGAAATTTATACTTTATTGATTAGATGAGAAAGATTATCGATTATAATATTTATTCATTAAGTAATACTTTAAAAGTTTGAATCTCATTTTTCTTCTTTTTTTTTCATTTCAAATTAAAACATTATAGAAATGTTTACATGATTATTTGAAGAAATTTTATTAAAATTAATTAATAATAGCATTAATAAGAGCTCATTAACCAATAATTTTGATTTAATTAATAACAATTTTAATAAAAAAAAAAAAATTTCCAAATGTTACTAATTTATAGGATTCACATTAGCTTCATTACGATTACTCATTGACGTACGTAATTCATTACGTTCCGATCGTAATTTATTACACTATATTGTTGAACAAATTGAAAATAAGAAATCAGATGTGTTACGTCTAAAACGTGATCTGGAAAGTGTTTATCAGGCAGCAAGACATAGGTTATATCATTATTATTTTTTGTTAATCTTTATTAAATTTTAACTTTTACATTTATTTTATAAGTAATTTTTAATGTTTATCGTTGCGTCACCTGATGTTGTTATGTTGTCAAGTTGTCACCAATATTATGTGTAGTGATCAAATTTTTTTTTTTTTTTTAATTTAATTTTAATGAATAATTAATGATTTTTCTCATATTTACTATTAAAATGTTGTAGTCGTAAAGAAATTGAGCAAGAACTTTGTGCATTACGGAAATCAATCACAGTTGTAACGGAAGCATTAAACGGAAATGAAACAGGAAATGATGATGATGATGATGCATGGAATAATGAATGTGATCGAAATGTTGATCGTTTTAGCGAAGTGTTGAAGAATTTCCTGAATTCTATTGAAAATAATTTTGCACAAGTTGAAAGGCAATATGGTGATATGAATACTAAAGTAAATTAAATTTTAAAAATGAATAAAATAAATTATTACCAAAATGATTACATATGATATGTGCATTTCATGAGTTCTTTTTTCCTTTTTTTTATTTTACATTAATAATAATTTTAATATATAAATTTGTACAGATAATATAATAATTAATCAATGATATATCTTTTTTTATTTTATTTTATATCAATTTTAATATATAAATTTGTACAGACAATATATCGATCCTTAGAAATTTTGATTGTATTTTATATCGATCCTTAAAAAATTTGAATATATTTTATATCGACCCTCAGAAATTTCGAATATATTTTATATCCATCCTTAGAAATTTTAAATATATTTTATGGCGATCCCCAGAAAATTTGAACATATTTTATAACGATCCTTAGGAAATTTGAATATATTTTATAACGTTCCTTAGAAAAATTGAATATATTTTATATCGATCCTTAGAAAATTTAAATATATTTTATGGTCGATCCCCAGAAAATTTGAATATATTTTATATCAACCCTTAGAAAATTTGAATATATTTTATATCGATCCACAAAAAGTTTAACCGAATTTAAAAAGAAAAAAATCATAACCCTAATTAGGAAATAAGATAAATAATAATGATAATACTAGCAATAGATACCCACACATGCATATCATTATAAATAATTTCTCATCTTTATAATTGTACCAATTATTCTGTTCATATTAATCGATTAGTAATCAATTATTTCAGTTCCGGGTATGTGTACGATTGTTTGCGGAAGAACCACGAACCACTTCACCGGATGATTTTTTTGGTGTAATCTCGAAATTTTTAACTGCACTAATCGAATGTCATCAACAAATTTGGGAAGAACGTGAGAATTTGGAACGACTTAAAAAACAAACATTAGCACGGTCAATATTGTCAAAAAAATGTAAACTTTTTCATTCGAAAATTTAATTTGAAAATATATTCGAAAATTTTTACTCATTTATTTTTTTTAAATTTTATTTTCAAATTTTTGATTGAATTTATTTTTAAAATTGAAAATTTTTCAATTTTTCATTAATTTATTTTAGAAATTCTATGATAATAGCTTTTCTTTTTATTTTT